AGTTGTCAAAGATATTCCAAGCCTTTTTCATGCTCCAACCCCACCTCCAACAGCTCCTCCACGAACTCCGGCCGGACTGTATCGTCGCCGACATGTTCTATCCGTGGACCACCGCAGCCGCCGCCGAGCTTGGGATCCCGCGGCTGGGCTTCCATGGCTCCAGCTTCTTCGCTTACTGCGTTGAACATTCTATAAAAGAGTACGAGCCTCATCTTCAAGTCCAATCCGATGATGAACAATTCCAAGTTCCGGGGTTGCCGGATTTTGTTGAAATGACAAAATCCCAGTTGCCAAATTGGATCATAAATCACGATGAATTGTCCCAATTATTTGATGGCATTAGGGAATCAGAGAAACGAAGTTATGGAATGTTGATGAACAGTTTTTATGAGATGGAAGACCCATATGAACAACATTTGAACAAGGTATATTAAACTTAATTAAAAGCATTTAACTTTAATTATTTATGCATATTTCAGAATTATAATCATTTTATTCATATTTAACACTCATCTTTCTTATTATTTTGTAGGCTTAAAAAGTTCGTGTCAACAAGTTGATTAACAATATTAATTTTAATTGATTGGAGAGGAAATAAGTTTATAATTTTGATGTGACCTTAAACTATCACTAAACCCAATAAATTATTGATAGAGTTAAGAGTATATTTTAGTCACTTTTATTCATATTCTTAATCAATTAATAATTTCTCTAGTGTTGAAATTTTAAGCTACAACTCTGGTTTGAACTTGAAGAAAAAAAAAAAACAGAAAAAACTCCTCTTGCCTAGAGGCTAACAAATATAATTAGCACACAAACATAAGCTCACTATCAATATTAATGAACGAGGGAATGATATTACAGAGTTTAGGACTTTATACGGTTACATGGTTCGATAACGGTAGACTATCATTAAATTCAAAAGTTTAAATATATTTAATCATTCATTCATATTCTTAATTAACAGGGGATCGGGATCCGAACATGGAGCATAGGGCCAGTTTCTCTAGCAGCAAACAAGGGAGCTCTAGATAAAACCCATAGGGGCGAAAACCCGAGCATAGAAACGAGCAAGTTACTCCAATGGCTCGACGAGAAAGAACCCAATTCAGTTCTCTACATCAGTTTTGGCAGCTTGGTCCGGATGAAACCTAACCAGATTTCCGAAATTGCACACGCTATCGAGTCTTCCAATCAGAATTTCATCTGGGTCATAAAAAAAAGCGACGGCGAAGAAGAAGAAGCCGCGATCGACGGAGGGCTTCCCAAAGGGTTTGAGGAGAACATGAAGAAAACAAAGAAGGGCTTGGTCATAAGAGGGTGGGCACCACAGCTCATGATTTTGGAGCATGAAGCTGTGGGAGGATTCATCACTCATTGTGGTTGGAACTCTATTTTGGAAGGTGTGAGCTCAGGCTTGCCTATGATCACATGGCCATTATTTGCAGAACAATTTTACAATGAGAAGCTGTTGATTGATGTGTTGAAGATTGGAGTGGGAATTATTGGATCCAAAAAGTGGTGGGATTTAGGAGAAGAGAGAGGAGAGGTTATTAAGAGGGAAGATATTGGAAACGCAGTGAGATTTTTGATGGGTGGCAGTGGTGAGGCTATGGAGATTAGGAAGAGAGCCAAAGAAATGGGAGAAGCAGCTAAGAGAGCTGTGAGTAGTGGTGGTTTGTCGGAGATGAACTTGGTTTCTTTGTTTAAAGAGCTCCAAGCAATGAAACTTAATCGGCAAAGCAATAGCGTCCGTTAACGGTTCGAAAATATAGCATTGTAATTGTGGAGTAAGAATTTGAACGTTCGAATTATAGGTAAGACTAATGCGTTTCAATCGTTTGAGTTATATTCATGCTGATTTTCAATTATTAAGTAGGTTTTTCAATTTCCTTGTTTCGGGTGAGGTTTTTATGGCTGATTTGATATGAAAATGGTATCCCCAATTTGGTGAAATCCTAAAAGGGAATTATTATTCTACTTTGTCTTGAGAATTTGTGTAAAGTAATTCGATCGCAGGTCTACATTAATACCTTTTACATATCATATCTAAACTCTAATATGGGTAGGTAACACACAACCAAATTAAGTACAAGCTAATTAGAGATAATTACACTACAACAAATCTGCTATTTCATGACGGACATTGCCCGACATTAAACATTAACCATGTCTGTCACTGACCGACATCTATACGTGTGTCCTTGTTTCCCTTTCATGTCAGACAGTTTTAAGGTCGGACATTGCCCGTCATGTATATTTTCTTTCCATCCGGACATGGCCGTCATGAAACGACTCTTTTAAGATCGGGCATTGCCTGTCATGTATAGCGTTTTCCATGACGGACGTGCTGTCATGAAAGAATAACCATGACGGGTGACGACCGACATCTTTATGACTGTCCTTGTTTTGTGACCGTCATTGTATGTGCGACATTGTTTGTCCGCCATTGTTTGTACGTCATCTTTTGTGTGACGTCATTGTTTGTACGTCACTGTATCTACATCGATATGTGCGTCATGGAATGACTATATTTCGTGAATAAATAAATTAAAAAAATAGTTGGTTGCCCATCTGGGCAACTATATATATTTCTTTCACACCTATGATAATATCTGAATATGCAACTAAAACTTTTAACACATTCATCCATTATAAAACAATATCTATTCTAAAACTTAACTAAAAAACTAACCTTAGACTCAAAACACAAATAATCAAAAGTACAAATTTCAACATAACCTCTCCACTTTTAGAATAACTCAAAACTAGCCAACAATATATCT